GAAGAGAGTGGTGAAGTGGTGGTGGGGATACTAAAGTGTGGGTGGGTCACTTTAGGAAGATTCTGAGAATGAATGCTTGCTTCGGATCCCCTTCCTCAGCCCAGTATTTATACCTGGAGCCAAGGGGCGCGGGAATCCTAAATGGTACATTACAAAGCACGTCTGTAGTACGACTAATCCATGTCCAGAATATTCTCCCTTATTCTCCTACTTTCCCTTCATTCCTAGTCCTTTCCTTCTCCTTTATCCATCCTTTTCCTGAGCCTGTCAGGGATTTCCAGAACATTCTAAGAACCTTCCCCACATATTCTTGATGTTTCCCAGGAGTTCTGAATGGTTTCCAGGGAATTCTTGAAGGGGAACACTGAGTATTCCAGTGGTTTCCACAATATTCCGCAATGTTCCGCAACATTCCGTGGGTTTCCGGCATGTTCTCCTCCTGTCTCCTTGGAATATCCTGGTGTTCCCTGGCTCTCTGATGCTAGGCTGTCATGTGCACATTGTCTGGAACCTTCTAGAACCTTCTGGCAATTTCTGTGCCTTTGTCAGCTGAAGTAGTCCAGCATGTTCTCCATGACTGCAGATGATCCTGTGTTGATGGCTGGGTTCCTCCTGTTCCTGAAGTTTCTGGTACTTTCTGGAACTGTCTCCTGACCTCTGGGCTAGTCCTAAGTGTTCTGGTGTCTGCTAGGTTGGTCTCTGGTCCTAGGTCTGTCTGGTGAGGGTGCTCCTATTGCTGGCATACCCTGGACTGTTCCGGTAGGCCCATGCGCCAAACCAGTTTGGTGCATGACAACGCGCCTGACCCAGGTCGGTGGCGGCGGCCCTCAGCAGCTGCTGAGCGTCCTCTGTGGTGACGGGTACGAAGTCGTACCAATGGTCCGCCTCGCGAGGGTTGGAGTCCTCAGGGACTGCGAGCATGTGGTATGGCCACCCCGTAATCCAGGGACGTGGGAAGCGTCCGTCACTCGAATAGCTGGGGGGTCGTGGAGGTGGGGCCAGCGGCGTCCCGTAGACCGCGTTCTGCCGCACTTTCCTGGCGGCCTTCTTCTTGATGTACTTCTCATCGAAGAGATCCTCTTCATCATCACCAGAGGACAATTCCTCGAAGTCTTGAAAGTCCACGGTGGGACCTGAACCAGCGGCCGCGTGCCGGCTCAACGATCCGGACGCCTCTGGCCTAGACGCGGCTGGCGTCGCTCCTGTCGTCCTCCCTGACTTCCGGATGGGCCCGCTGCCCGCGACATTGGGGACGACCCCGTCATGGACATGGGCTCATCCCGATCCCGCGACGGACCGGGCTCGGTCATACGGGGGGCCATGGTGGAGGGTCACCGAGGGCTGTCATCCCGTGCCGACCGCGATGGTCTCACCGGATACCCCCGTTCCGGCGACTCGGGAAAATCGGGGTGACCGGGAGGCACCGCGGGGACGCACCGAGCTTGATTGGGGCGAGATTGGCTTGCCCGAGCTCGAAGACAATTCTCATCATTGAGCATCTCCCGAGCCTGGTTGCGCTCCGACCGATATCGGTTGCGGTCCTGACGAAGTGTCGTCGTCTCCGCACGTGCGGCGTTGAGCTCCTGTTCCAGCTCGGCATTGATTCGAGCGCGTTTGCGGAGCGAGGTAGCCTCTGCCACTGCTGCTTGGAGCTGCCGCTCCAAGTCTTCTACTTGTCGCGCGTGCTCAGCGCGGCTCTCTCCCTCCCTGGAGCGCGCATGCTCCTCGAAGTACCCCCAAAACTGCGACTGCAGCTGCGTCTGAACCGCGGTCAACGTGTTCCTGAACGAGGAGTCGTTCATCGCCGCCTGGTAGTGTCGCACGAACTCCGTGCAACAGCTGCATCCGGCCGAGTGCGCCACAAGGAGGTGGTGATTGGGGACTGCTGCCCACGACATACCCGGAATGGGCATGAGCGGGGGCATTCCAGGGGGCAGGAACAGCGCTGCGTTCGACCGGTCGGGCCCCGGCATGCTCGACGATGCGGGCGCGTGAGCATATTGCACCGTTGGGTGCAGTGCGGCCGAGGATACTGTTGGCGGTGACTGGTGCTGGTAGGGGAGCGGTGCCCCGTACGGGGAGGCGTACGCGTGCGGGAACCCGCCTTGCGCCATCGGGTGTAGTGGCGCATGCGACGGCCCCGCCCCTGCGTACTGGTTGGGCACCTGGTATGGCACGGGGAGCTGTTGTTGGGACCCAGCTGAGTCCGGTTGCATTGCAGCGCCTTGCTGCTGAGGCGCGTTCTGCGCCGCCGGGTCCAAGACCATCTCGGTCTGGTTGGAAGTGGGCGAGGAGGGGTTGGACATGGTGTATGTCGCGGGCGGGTGCGTTGTGGGTGGATGGTGGTGAGGTGGCAGAGATTGACTCGCGACATAGCGAGCTCGCCGCTTAGGACGGCGAGCTCACAAGCGCCGGCGGAGTTCGAATCTCTGCCCGATCTGCCAGATCCCCGCGACGTGTCGCGTCTCGCGCCCACGTGATCGCGCTCGTCCGTGCCGACGCGCGTCTACTCTATTCCGTTCCCTGCGGTCGCCCCCGACCAACACTTACTTAAGTGTTCAGTTGCGGCTGCAACTACTTCTTACGGGGTAGACTGCGCCAGGTCTTGACACCCATAAGACAACAATACTCGTCTAGTGCGGCCAAGTCCTTACAGTGCTCGTAAGGTTCCCAGGTGTGGTCTCCGAGCGTCCACCGCACATGGAATTGACACTTTTGTCCTGTCCATTCATGCCCGACGATTTCGTCCACCAACCATTCCGCGGTATCGTCCACTCCGAAGTCGTAGAATGCGCGGGCCTCCCGCTTAGGGAACAACGCATCGTCGTTTGCCTCATGTTTCCACAGGAGGGAAACATGAAAACGCGGGTGAATGCGTCGGTTCTTAAGCTCCGGTGGGAGGTCTAGCACGTAATTTGACGTGTTCGGAAAGCTTTCGAGGACTTTGTATGGTCCGATGAACCTGGGCACGAGCTTCCGTGCACGTCCTTTCGGAACTGATAAGTTCTTTGTGGACAGGTATACGAGGTCGCCGACCTCAAACTCCGGCTCAGCCTGCTGGTGTTTGTTGGCGTGATAAGCCTGAGAGATCCGGGACTCGATAATAGTGTCATGAGCGCGTTCGAGGTTAGCCAGAGCTCGCTGGGCGAACTCACTCACTCCCTGAAACGGAGTATCCGTTTGAATTCCACTCATGGATCGGGGCAAGTATCCGTAGTTCAGTTCGAACTGTGCGAAGCCCGTAGTGGAACTCGTCGCTGAATTCAGCGCGAATTCTGCTAGTGGTAACTTCTCGTACCAATCGAGCTGGTCCGGAGAGACCAATGCCCTCAGAATTTGAGTAATGGAACGGATAGTCCGTTCCGTCAGACCGTCGGTCTGAGGATGGAAAGATGTGGACATCATTAATTTGACTCCCATGAGTCGATGTAGTTCTCTCCAGAACTTCGATGTGAACTTGCTGTCTCTATCTGAGACTATGGACTCGGGTAGTCCATGAAGTCGGACGACTTCACGCAGATATATCATAGCCAGCTCGTCGGCGGTATTCGTGGTATTCACTGGAATGAGATGGACCATTGAGGTCAGACGGCATACTATCACCCAAATGTAGTCGTAGCCGTGCGACGACGGAAAAGGGCCAACAAAGTCCATCGAAGTGGACATCCACCGTTGTAGTGGAATGGGTAGGTTGTGTAACAACCCTGATGGCAACTGGGTGGACGACTTCACGGTGTGGCAGGTGCCACAACTGAGACAATATTTGTCTACATCCTTCCGCAACGCCGGCCACCAGAACCAATGTCGTACGTATTCCGACGTACGTTGAGGACCGAGGTGTCCCAGAGCCGTATGCGCTTGATTCAGTATCAGCTCGGGAATTGAGCGGCCCTTGTAGATGGCCCGGGGAAGACAGACGACTTCCTCGTCTTGACGGTTCTTGGTGTAGATAATGCCGTCGCATAATGCAAAGGAACTAAACCCCGCTGGGTTGCCTAATACCTTGGACAGTGCTCTGTCGGCGGTATACCCTTCGCGGATGGCTTGCCAGAAGCCCTCATCCGATTCTACGTATTTTCGTAGGGACGGACCACTAGCCAACGCTTCCGCAAGTGTCGGTGATTTTGGCTCGGACGTATTCACGTCGGGGGTAGTTGAAGTGGGTTGATGATGAGCATACTGCTCGGATTCAACTACTCGAGCTTCTACTCGGTCCGTCGGGACTGGAGCGTCCGTGGTACGGGCTTCGCGGGCTGCCTGTTGGCGGGTACGACGTAGAATACGTCCTCCTCGTAGTTTGATGAGTCGGGATTGGGGAAGGTCATCCCCGTCCGGATCCAAACGTGCATCGGCGTTGACCATATCGTAGTCAGGAATCTCGCCATGATAGTTATCATTCTCGTGGTAACGAGATAAACAGTCCGCCACCTTGTTGAGTCTCCCGGGTACGTACGTGATATCGTACTTGAATCGCGCCAGATATTTGTACCAACGAATTTGGCGACGACTCGGGTGTTCTATGCCCTGCAAGAATTCCAACGCTTTATGGTCGGTTACGACGTGTATGGGGCGTCCGAGGAGCTTGTCCTCCCATTTAAGGAGTCCCTCCATGATGGCGAGTGCTTCCTGCTCGTACGTATGGTACGCCTTCTGTGCAGAAGAGAATTTCTTCAACAAGAATCCTGCGGGCCTGCAGGTTTGCCAGTCCTTGCCCTGGCCGTACACGGCCCCAATTCCGTAGATGGAAGCATCGCAGATGAGCCAGATCGGCTCGGGCAATCGAGGGTCGATTGGCTTGAGAATGGGCACCTTACACGCCAAGGCTTTGATAGCTTCAAAACACTTGTCATGTAGTGTACGCCATACAAATGGTTGGTCATTGCGGACCATCGCGGACAGAGGCGACGTATACGCCGTGACATCAGGCATGAAATGGGCTAGGTAATTCACTAGCCCTAGGAACCGTTGTACCTCATGGTACGATCGAGGAGTGCGCCAACTCCGAATGCGACTCATTTTGTCGGTATCAGCGTGTAGTCCGCGATCGTCGATATGATGGCCAAGACAATCTAAGTCTTTCGAGTATAAGTCGCATTTACTGCGACTTAGGAAGAGCTTCACCTTCCGTAATATCTCGAACACCTGGGCCAGGTGTTGCTCATGTTCTTTGAGCGTGTCCGAATAGACGAATATATCGTCTAGGTAGACATGTACAAATCGTCCGATAAAATCGCAAAATAGCGCGGTCATTAGACGTTGAAACGTCGAAGGGGCATTCGTGTCCCCCTGTTGCATGACTTCGCTCACGAACGTCCCAAAGGGCGTCGCAAATGCGGTTTTCCAGATGTCTTCGGCCACAATGCGCACTTGTTCGTACGCGTCGGACAGGTCTATCTTAGACCGATATCGGGCCCGAGCCACATCCATTCGGATCTGGTTCTGGTCCGGGAACGGGGTCAAATCGTGGACCATGTTGTCGTTCCTCTGTCGTGCATCGACGACCGTTCTCAACTTGCCATTCTTCTTGGCCACACATAGCAGCAGTGCTGCTTGCGTTACCGTGGCCGGCCACCACCATCCCGCTTTCACATAGCGGTTGATTTTTGTCATTAGATCAGTCTTGATCGCGTCGGCGCACCTAGGCAGGTGGTAGCGGTAGATCTTCTTCTCGTCTATGAGAGGAATCCGATGATTCACTTCTCGGAACGGAGGGAGTTCCTCCGGAGCAGGACGCATGATGTCCTCAGTGGATTTATACCACTTCTCGCGGAGTTTAACCAGCTCCTTCTCCTCGTCATCGTTGATGACAAACCCGACGTGAGACCGTCGGATTTCCTCGTACTCCCATGCATCGCTCGCTATGCGATCTAGCATCTCATTGACCCCATATGGGTCATCGAATCCAAAGCAGTCCTTGCGTGGACCCTTCGACGAGTGAATCGTCGGTACTATGCGCTCTGTAATTACAGGAGCAGAGCTGGTGACGGCTCGCCCTTGGTGTCGAACCGGAATTGTCACGGCCATATTGCCGTTCCCTCCCCCTTCCGATGACCCTTGCGGTCCTGCATAGCGCGTATGGGGAGGTTCCACTTTCGTGGACTTCGCCATGCTCCCCTATTGGACCAACGGTCCGTTCTCGGTTACCCACTTAATAGGTTCCTTGAACGACCGTTTTGGTGTCTTGGAGGAAATGGCCTCCTCCTTGAATAAGGGAATGCTCTGCTTCCCGACCAACACCCGGTCGTTCGCAAAGTCCAGTACAATACCGTACTTACGACAGAATACTGTCCCCAATATTGTGTCGTACTTGTCGATATCGACAACATCGAAATAATGTGTATTACGCACTGAGTTCAGTGCGATTTCGGCTTGCGCCCCGAAATTGATCTTCGTACAACTACCCTTAGTCCCCAGCTGGAGGCCTACTGGCTCCTGCAGGTCAATCCTGCCCGCCTTGCACAGATACGCAAACTCCGGAGTAATGGAGTCGGTAGTGCAGCCCGAGTCGAATAGCACTAATGCTTTAATACCGTTGATCGGTATCTCCGCACATAGTGTGCGTTGAGCTTCGTGTACCCGTTGGGGTTGAGCCGCCGGGTCCTCAATCTTGCGGACTTTTGCGTCGTAGATCCATGCGTGACGCAGGCCGCGTTCATTGGCAATAGCCATGCTGTGGATCCTTGGCTCATTTGCCGATCCTTCTGAGGCAATTGCCTCAACTCGCATGCTTGCCATATACACGGCGTCGTCGTGTTCGAAATCTTCCCATTCCGACTGGACTTGTTCGTCCGCGGATTCGTATTGCGATCCTACGAATTCGAATTCGGACTGAGGGAGGTCCTGGACCGTTTCGGCCTCTGGATCCAGCCCCTGGGTGTCCTCCGGAGTGCCTGCGTCATCGGCCAGGTCAAACTCGACCGTCTGTGTCTCGATGGGTGCGTCCGGTTGTTCATTGTCCGAAGTGTCGTCCACTACCCGTTGCGCGAACATGCACTGACCAGGAGTGGTCTTCTTGCCATGGTTGGGGCAAGCCGGGTCTGATGCGAAATGCCCGATTTGCCCGCATGAGAAGCACTGCGATGCTGTCTTGGTGGCTGCAGGCTTCGGGGCGGGACGAGATACCTGCCCCAGAGTGGGTCTTGGTCGATCGGTGCGACCTGGAGCCGTACGAGACGGACCCTGTCGCCTTACGGTGGACGAATTCGTCCTAGGCGAGGGCTCTGCCGCGGGAGATCTCCGTGGCTGGGTGTTGTTCGAACGGGTGGTGCAATGGTCGTTCGACGACGAGGGATTGTTGGTTCCCGGGGTGGTGTCGCGGAGGCGACGGCGTTGTTGTATCGCCCGGGAACTTTGCTCGATCTCGAGTGCAGCCTGATAAAGCTGAGATAAACTATTATATTTAACAGAGAGGCCGTTAAGTACAGTGAGAGTAATCTCGTAGCTGATGGGTAACGTCTCTATAAACTTGCAACGTATCTGGAATGGAGAAGGCTTCTCCAACATCTTCTCGGTGATGTACAGTAAGTGTTCGTACAGCGCGGCGACTCCGCCCTTACTGGGCTCGAATCTCAGGTTCTCATACTCCTGAGATGCTTGGAGATGATTATCTCGGTGTATGAAACGTCGGAATAAACCGACTATGGCCTCCTCGAACAGCCAATCCCGTCGTTCACGGGAAGGGGATTGTACAGTATTGTACAGCCAAGTGGCCGCATCGTCGGCCAAACAATCGCCCAGTATTTGTAGACGATCACGGTCCATAGAAGGGCCGGTTATCTGGAGTGTACGGAAAAATTCGAGCAGGTTATGAAACCAAATCTCGAATGCGTCGAGATCATCCTTGCCTGCATACGGCTTCGGAAGTGTCATCTTCGTGACCTTCAGGCGGGCTGGAGGTAGGTTCCTCCCCGACTATTTCATCGATCATCCCAAGAAGCCGTTGGACTTCTCGGGTGTCGCGAGGTCCGTAGCTGGGACCGGTATATGCTAGCTCCTCGGACCGGTTCGGGTCCTGCTCAGGGACAACTGGAAGTCCGGGATGCACAGAGGCACCTGGGGCCATGGACCGACGCGGTCGAAATACAAACTGTTGGGGTACCACCGTAGACGTGGCAGGTCTACGACCTCTCCGGGGAGCCTGCGACGCAGATTCGTACTGGTCCCAGTCCGGAGGTGCGGTGATGTTCGACGGTTTGAACTGTCCGAAAGCTACACTCCGTTGGGGTTGCTCTGCACGAATGGGTGCGGGACCTGCAGGAGCGGGGGAGACGATACGGGAAGGACCCGCCAGAGGACCGACTTGACTAAGTCCAGCCCGGTGTAGTCGCTCCACGCGATCGTACTCCATTTGCTGTCGGCGCACCTCACTAGGTGTAGGACTCGGAGGGCCAGCCAAGTGGGCCTCCACCTGAGTGGCGTCGATAATGTCCTCGACGTTGTTTTCAGGACCCACCGTATGGTCCGCGCCCTGTTGGGCCATTTCTCGCATTTCTCGCTCAAAAGCAGCGAGTTGGTCATTGAGCTCGGCCTCCGCGAGCACAACTTGCTCTCTCAACGCCTTATAGCGTTCTGACAAGTCCTGCAAGAATCCCATGATTCTTAACGCGGGCGCGGGCTGGATCGTTTCTCGCCGCTGCGAGTTCTGCCGAATGCCGGCCCAGTCGTCGCCGATCTGCTCAAGATCCTCAGTAAGATTACTGGTGGATCCGGGACATGGAGCGTCCGTAGTGGTGGCCCTGGGAGGCTCGGCATGTTGGGGGATGCCCCCTGGGGCCGAGCGTACAGACCCAGTGCGCGACGGTGCGCACGGAGCCTCCGGTCCCAGTGTATTGCGTCGTGGCGAATTCGCAGGAGCTGCCGACGGCGCTGGAGGTGGATTGGGCACGAAACTTCGTGCAGGGTCGCCCCGGGGAGATGGGGGTTGGCCCGAAGGCCCAGGAGCCGCTGCTGGCGGTGGGTTGGCGTCGCCCGAAGTGGCAGGTTGCGAAGAACCTGGTTGGTTGCCAGGGGCTCGCTCAGGGTGGCTGGAAGTTCCAGAAGGCTGCGTGGGGTCCATATCAGGACGCTGTCGTAAGGCGTCCGAGTTCTGATGACGTGGTGACATCGAGCTCTACTGATGCTTTGAACGAAGGTTCGTTCTCGCGGCTAGAGTAAAAAAGTGTAAGTATACGTGACCTCTACCGGTCCCCGGTATCCCACAAGTACTCTGTACTGGGCTGTATTGCTCGGCGTACTCATAGGATGGTGGGGTTGGGTAGAAGTCAACCCCACCAGACGCCCAAGGCCCGAACCTTGGGGCGTCGTACACTTATGTAAAGTACATGACGTAACACATCTAATCTACGGGCGCCTATGCGCCCTGGGTCTCCGAGAACCTTGGAGACATCGGTCTCCTTTACTCGATGACGGTTAGTCGTCCTCCGCGCACGACCTAGCAAGGTCTGGTTATGATAGAACCGACGGGTTCTTACACATTGCTTCAATAAGATGCAGAAGAGATCTACACCTCCACAAAATGGCACTGTGAGGGTACCTTCAGCACATTTCACATCATGAGGCCATCTTCCTTTCTGAGCCGCTTAGTAGAACATGAGCTGTCCGGCTGAAGGAGATGAACATAGCACACAGAATGTCTTTGCAGGCTTGGCTTGCAGAAGATCATAAGCCTAGTTATACATTCATGACCACACCAGGGCCAATCCAATTGGACCAAAGGATATAGAGCCAGAGAGGGGATTCTTACCACCAAGCTTCATTGGACAATGATCAGTGCATGTACCATGCACCTCTATGTTGGTGGTACTTCTTTGTAAGAATACAGGGGGTTGAGCCTTCTTCACACCAGTCACAGCTGCGTTAGATCCTGATCTATAACCAGAGATAACACAGAAGTAGCGACAAGTGATGTGGTGGAAAGCTAAAGACCATGTAGCTAGCATCTGAGGCATAAGTCCAAGAACCCTAACCATAAGTCCGTCCAGAACCCTTACATTCTTGCAAGAGTCTAGGGTAGTATTGGTGGACAGTGGACTCTCAGAAGCGGTGAATTCATGGCTACAATGTAGGCAGGATTCTTGCCAAAGAGCAATAAGCAAAAGCACCCAGATTGGGCAAAGCAGCATATTCAGTTCTGGCGATGGTCAGCACACAGAGAAGGGTAGTGTTGAGAGGGATGGATGAGTGTCTAGATATGATAGTGGTTGCACATAGACCAATGGAGATCGAGAGCAGACAGAGAGAGCTGCCAAAGATATAATCTAATCTAATCTAAGGTCAGCCAGTAACTCATCAAGAAAAATATGTAGCACAAGGCAAGAGGTTTGGGAAAACATACTGAGCATATGAGAATCAAGCCTAGATACTCTATAATGAGCTTAGAGGGCTCTCAAGATGAGACAGTCAACTGGAATACAGTAATGAATATTTGAGAGACCGTGCAGCTAGCACTTACTCACCATTCCACTAAGGCAGCAAGGAGTGGAGTCCATCCTCAACAATCCTTATCTCCTGCATCAATGCTCCCTTCTCCCAAATTATGTTCATTAACACCGTGTCCGCAATCTTGTTTGCAGCGTCGACGAACGGTGGATAGAGTTGATCTTCCTCGAATGCTTGCCCGCTGGGTGGAAAGCCCTTCCAGTGTCGTTCCTCACCATAGAGGTCCAGTTCCAGTTTTGTGACATTTGTGTAGATTTCATCGAGGACAGAGTGATGGATGGGTAGGATTTTGTCGAGGAAGTCATTCGTGGGTACGATGCGTATGTTGTCGATGTTTACCATGGTGTGTTCCTTGGGATAATGTCAAGCGGCCCAGCATAAGGCTGAACACGGATGAGGATCCTAGTGTGGGTAGACCCATGGAATTGGGACCCGCACCTGTGGGTCACGGCTCATGCGGATGTGGTTGCCTGGGCCCCGGATCAGGCACAGATCCAGATCAGTCATTCACATCCAGGCCAGTCAGCCGTAGGTCACCCGGATCCGTAGGCATGGCAAAGGTACTCTGGTGACGTATGATATTTGAGAAACAAGAAGGTCTGGACAATCAAAACATGGGAAGACTTGTATCATAAAGAAGTGCGTGTGCGACTAGAAATCCCCGATCTCTGACTCCGAGCTAGTGGGCGAGATGAGGGGCGGCATGTCGTCATCACCGTCAGTGTCGCTTGCAACAACAAGGCCTCGAGGCAGGTCTGTGCTGCACACCAATTGGCCATCGGACACGAGCGTGGCACCGTCGCTGCCAATCACAGGAGGAGTGGCAGAAGGGGCGCCGGTAGGCTCAGTGTTGATGGGAGGCGGGGCAACACACGTGCGGCATGCCGCAAGGCCCGATCATCCCTCATGCGGAGCTCCTCTGACGTGAGCGCAAAGAGGTCGGTGGGATCCTGGAAGAGTCTCTGCAAGGTGGTGGTAAGGCTGTGTTAGTGAACAGGTACAAGCTGTGTATGGTATAAAGACGTACCACAGGTAAGAGGAACTGCATATAGAGCACTACCGCAGCAAGTGCTTTGCCGGCAGGGTCACCATGAGATTGAGAGAGTGCGCCCTCGAGAAGCTGATTGACGAGGTCGCCGAAGGTGTCGTCATCGACCCTGGGAGATTGAGCGGCGGTAGCACGGTAGACGAGGAACAAGTCGATGAAGAGGTTGGCTTGCTCCTCGCTGACGAAGTCGTTGGGAAGCAGCGTGTTGCGGACGACATGCAGCCATCTGTCGCAGAGAATCACGACGATGTGTCTGAAGTTGAAGGTAGGGAGATTGAACTGTGTGCAAAGATGTCAGAACAACGCCCAATGGCGCAGACACGATGGCGAATCATACTCACCGTGAAGATTCAATCACTGTCGTAGGCGAAAATGGTCAATGACAGGCCATACTCGGGCCTCTGCAACCCGGGGCTAGTCCAGGCATCTGCCTTAAGGACCATGCAAGCTTCGGTGAAGGCCATCTTGGTGTGGAGCGAGGTCGAACAGCGGTGTATGGGAGAGGGAGGGGAGCGATGATACTTGCCTGAAGAACATTGCCCGCCCTTATAGTGCACGGTTGAGCCTCTCCTGGTGCACAATACTATTCCTTGGATCGTATGGGTCATTCGGCCACTGAAGACGGTGCTCGGGGGGCGCTGTGTGTCGGCCAGTGAAGGCCGTGCGCCGTGTCGGTCATCGGGCACACACATTCCAGCAACTCCCGACTTGACCTGCTGCATGCTGCGCTCGGCTCCCGGTATCCGCCCCAAAACAATATCTAAACTTTGAACCGTAGGTCGTTAGGATCAACGCTTGCTGAAACCCACAGGGAGAACGAACGTACCTCACAGGATCGGGCATTTTATGCGAGATTACCATTGTTGTCAGTGCGAGACAATTTCAATCTGGGCTCCAGGTACAACCAGATCCATCACCGAAACCAAGGAACACGAGCTTGAGGCTGAAAGACCTGCCGCAGTAGAGAGACAAGGAGAGGAGCAGTGTCCTGAGCTGTGGTTGAAGCTCGGGAGACAGTGGCAGCTGGCCAGCGCGGGCATACTGGCCAAATGGGGTTTGTGGGCGCATGAAGGACCTGTTTTGGACATCAAACCTACCAGCTGGGTATAAACTCGTACGAGACGGCCACATCCCCCTCCACCACCCAATTTCCTGATCGACTGGTCCATCTATTCAACCGTCGCTGTGAGACCTCTTCACATTGTCCCCATTGCTAGCTAGATCTCTCCCAAATCGACGGATCTGGCTCAGTATGTTTCAACACCAACGTCGGCAAGGTCGGACTCCCGGCCCAGCCAACTCACATCGTGACAAGGTCAGCACAGGGCCTCGCATTTTGTGAACGGCCGCCGAATCCGCTTAACGGTGAAACAGGATACACTGGTCAGCGCTGCTGCTTGGCAAGAACGATGTGCCTACAGCCGTATCTGTTGTACAGCAAGGACGGGTCCCGGGAGCTCCTGAATGACCCGCACCTGCGCTCACCAATCAGGGCTGCACGGCGAGATATCGCCACTCTCGTGGGACGTGCAAGTTGCAGCAAAGTCCACTCTCTCTTGGGGGCCACTGTACGCGCTGAACGGCCCAAAGGGAGTCTGTCCAGCGTATAAAGGCGGCCCTGCGAGTCTACGAATTGTAAGCACCACCCACACGCATATCCTCGCCTCCCTCTCTATTCATTGCGCTCTATGCCGCCCGCAAACAAGAGCTCTGGCAAGCGCCGCCGCAACAGTGACTCATCCGATGCCTTGTCGTCCACGAAGACCTCCAATACTGGCAGAAATGCTGCCGCGTCCTCCCAGGAGCCTTCCCACCCTGCTAACAAACGCCCTCCTCCTCCACCACCTCGTCCGCCGCTGCCTCATCCGCCGCTGCCTCGTCCGCTGCTGCCTCGTCTGCTGCCACCTCGTCTGCTGCCGCCGGGACGTCTGCGGCTGGCGTGTCTCGTGGGGACAGTGCTCAGCCTCCTGGTGACGACCCGACAGCCAACGACGCCGATGAACCTGTGGCGGCTGTCGCTGCGCGCGTCACTCTCGCCAGCAAGGGCCCCCTCCCTCGCATTGGGGAGAAGCGCGCTGCCTTCCTGGAGAAGTACAACGGCAAGACACCAGAGCAAATCCTAGGTCAGTGCTGTCAGCTCACGTATACTTGTTGGCGCTGACTTTTCAATAGATGCACTCTCGAAGAAGTGGTGCTCGGACGTCTACAAACATTTCATGAAGCCCAAGATAATCCAGACTCCTCAAGGCGGCGTTGTCCATCGTTTCGTCTGCCAGAAGTACGTCTGCGATTCCTCCAGGACTGTGTATGTGTACTTACTAGCTACTTACCTTCGCAGGTACCCATCCAAACACGTCGACCGTGCCGACTACGAGGAATCGACCGGTAACCTCACCCGTCACTGCGGCCTCTGTGACCCGGACGACACCCTGGAAGTTGAAATGATCACCGCGTATGCACGCGGCACAGCGTACAGTCCTGCGCATGTGCGATATCTCATTGTGATGTGGTGTGCGCGCCGCCATCGCCCGTTCACAATTTTAGACGACCTGGAGTTCTAGGAGCTCATGTGTATGCTATACGCGAAGGTCGAACTGCCCTCGCGCGTCACCGTATCCCGCGACATCCAAATGATCATGTTGGATGGAAAGATCTGCATCATTGCATTCCTCTCCGTGAGTACACGCTTCTCTCCCCTAATTCTGTGCTTACCATCATGTCCTTTGCAGAGTTTGCCCTGCAAGATTCACATATGCGTCGATGGCTGGACATCACCGAACATCATGTCCTTCTTGGGCGTCACCGCGCATTGGCACCGTGACGGCAAGATTGAGCATATCATACTCAATTTCATTAGGTACGCCGTCTCATCTCCCATCCCATACTATGCACATGAGACTAATCGAGTATGATGGGCTGACGAACGGCCACACTGGAAAGTACTTGGCAGAAAAGCTTGTGGAATGCCTTACCGGCTACGGCATTGAGAAGAAGGTAAGCCGCTCACTAATATACGCGTCATTACTACCATTTATTGATACCTTGCACCTCACTAGGTCCTAGCAGTCACCGTCGACAACGCCGACAACAACACAACAATGCTGAAAGAAATGCATACACTGGTCAAGGAACTTTGGGGACCCATGGCTCGGGTCCGTTGTTTTGGACACGTCCTCAACCTGGTCATCAAGGTGATGTGCTTCGCTATTTTCCACAAGATTGTATTGCTGACACGCCCATTCATACTAGGCCATCATGTCGATGTTCTTGCGCAAGCCCAAGGCGAAGGCCGATGCCGGCGTTCAAGCTGGCAATAACGACGAAGATGCTGACCTCGCCGCTTTGGACGACCCGGAGGACGTCGATGAGGACGACCTCAAAGCTGCACAGGAGGTTGATCAAGCGTGTGAGGATGCGGACGACGTGTTGCTCGACGACATGGCCAACAACAATGTCGACATCACCTTAACTGCTCAGGATATCAAGGAGGGCCGGCTCGCCGTCGAGAAGGTACACCGCTTCTATCATGCGAAGTCTTCATTGTATTGATTGTTCTGATAGGTTACAAAACTCTCGAAGAAGGTCTGGAACAGTCCTCCAGTGCGCGCCGCGCTCGCGACCCTCACCCACGACGCACCGGACATCCATAGCGAAGTCCTCGTGCGCTCGGTTGCGACGCGCTGGAACACAGTTGCAGCCGTCATCGAGAGGGCACTGGAGCTGCAAGAAGTGCTCGGTGATCTTTGCGACATGGCTCAGTTCAACAAGCCCCGCGGAGTACATCTGCGCCGCTTCATTCTCACTGATGACGACTGGATGCTGCTCAATCAGCTCCACCGGCTTCTCGACGTGAGTGTGCATTCTATTCCGACGTGCGAAGTCACGCTGATAGCCTGTGCTTCTTGGAAGCCCTTCGTGTACTCGACTAACAAGATCTCGCACAGCAGCCGTGGACTTGTGCATGAAGTCATCCCATTCATGGACCTCCTCACCGAACACGTCGACGAGTTCATCGCCGATGAAATGTTGCACCTGGCCGTCCGTGGCGCCGCCAAACGCGGCCGCGCCATCTTGGACAAATACTACACACTGACGGACACCACCATCGTGTACCGTATCACGATGAGTACGTGTTTATTCACTACCTAAGCTACTGCATACTAATACATCTCTTAGTGCTTCACCCTCGCTACAAGACCCAGTACTTCAAGGACCAGTCCTGGCCTGAGGACTGGATCACCGAGGTGTGGGCGATCATCGAGAAGGAATGGACCAGCAACTACAAACCCAAGGACGCCCCTGCACCCGCTGATATCCCTGCAGTGCCAGCACCGTCAGCGTCTCAACCGGGCCCTGGTAGATGCAGCGCAGCTGCATCTGCTGCGTCCGCGGTATGTTCGCTTCGTATTGTAGATACTTGTTGCAGCAGTGTCTTACTCATTCTCTTTGTAGAGCACGCGCAAGCGCTTTGCGGCCATTGGTGGAGCTGCCAAGGCTGGATGCGTCAACGCGCTGAAGAAGTACCTGGAGGAACCCCCGGCCGAGACCGTGACTGATCCCCTCAAGTACTGGGATCTGGTCCTCAAGTCGTCATCGGAGTTTAGCGGCGAGCATGCCCTTGCTCGGATGGTGATCAACTTCCTTTCCGCTCCAGGTATGTTGTCCATTCATCCTGTACATACTAACATGGAGGTATTCTGATGCCTCTTGATTCTTTCAGCCACATCAACGGACACCGAGCGTGCATTCTCACGCGGTCGCCTCACCGTCTCCCGCCTTCGTCATTCGCTCGCGGACAAATCCGTCCGCGTGAACACTGTTCTCAGTTCATGGGCTCGCATTGCGGACCTCCTTCCTGAGGCCGACCTTGTCGAGGTCATCCGTCAGCACAGTGCAGGTAAGAAGTGCACCGTCGACGTCGCTCAGCCTGTCCCGAACAGCGCTAAGGCTGGCGGTGATGTCATTGAACTCGACTAAGTTCCCGGCTGCTTCTGTTGCTGTACTTAGTATAACCTTCTGTCCTGCTCGTCGCTTTTGTCCTGCTCATTGCTCCTGACCTGCTCATTACTCCTGTCCTGAAGAATTGAACATATACTTGCTACTGTAGCTATGGTACTCATGAATGAATGAATGATGGCGCTCTTTTGAGGGTTTTTGACATAGTTTTTGTTGGATAACTGAGTTTATTTTATGGCTAAGTCCAGCTCCAGGTCACCCACAGCTCTACCTGCGGGTTCCGGGTCCAGATCTGCGGGTTCGGGTCAGTTTGCGGGTTCAATCCGTGCAGGTCTGGGTTGAGCATTTTGTGTGTGAATTACCCGTGGGTTTGGATCCGGATAACCTGTGGGTGGATCCATGTTCAGCCTTAGCCCAGCAGCCTCATCCGAGAGTGTTCCCCATCTTTCCAACCACCGCTTTGCCAATCATGATCTCAATCACAACCACGTACGACCAGATCTTCATCCATATTTCTCACCCGTCTGGCCATCGGCTGTGGTACCTCTGTGCTCGCACACATCTGCCAACGAAACAATATGACACCCCGGCAGACGGCTCATGAAGCGAGCAGGCACTGTCAAACTCGAGGTAGCACACCTTAATGAGACGTGGAACTTGGGCTATAATGACACAGTCTACCTATATACAATACTATACACTACACACCCTGCAGGGACATAGCAATATAGATATCTGCGAAACAAGACAACAAATCGAGAGCAAGACAGACAAATTGACGACTAGATCCCCATGCGCATGTCCAACATACCCACTGCCCCGACTGCATGTACACGTCCTCACCGCCGCTTCCTCGAGCCACTCTCGCCCGTCCCGCTCCTCGACCGCTCAGCGCGCGTCGCCAGCCATTCCGCCGCCGACGCGCCCTGCACATACCCTTCGCCCATGAACACAGGCACCCCCGCCCCGCCACCTCTCGCCAAGAACCCCCGCGTGCTGCTCCGCGTGCCCATCACGACGAGCTCCCCACTGTCCACGTCCAGCTCAGACTCGTCCTGTGCCCCCGCTGCATCCGCATGACATGGCCTTCCAGTCTGCCATCATGTCATTCACCTCTATCACTTCCAACATTTCTTGAATCTCTGACCCAGAATTTGACTGCTTCGGGTGAAGCAACCATTTGGCAACCTTGTTCCACCACTTGCGCTCCCAGCCATATTCACATTGGATATCAAACAAGCAACATGGAGTGTGCTTGACAGTGGGCAGTGCAATGCTACAACCCTTCGGTGTGTGTCAATGGCTTTGCAGGTCGGACATTGGATTTGAGAGGGCACTGGACCAGCTTGCAAAATCCAGCCTCTATCTGGTTGGTGAGCATATTTTTGATTCCCAGAGCAAGCTTCATTGCTACACTAAAGCCAGGGTGCTGCTCTGGAGCAATATGAGTATTGTGCTGAGCGCACTCCAGGTCGAAGAAATACCCCAAGTTGAGCACTGCAACAAGTGCAGCATTGTCTTCAATGGGAAGCTGACTAACAATTCTAGGTAAGTTGTTGTACACCTTGATTGGTGTCAAGCAGAGATACTCACTGACACAATAGGTAGTACAGGAAATGGTTGAAGTCCTTCACAGGATTAGCAGGTATCACAATCAAGTGGGAGTCATCTGCACCTTCAAGCAGGCTAGAAGGACATATAGATAGGAGTGTTTGGAAACACCCTATGTCAAGCTGAAGGTATTCCTTGTGCAGGCAGTACAGGGATTGGCTCTGGGAGAGCTTGTCTAACACAGTAGTGAGTACCACCAGTGATGTTGAGTAGCTTCAAATCCTTACCAGAATGACACAGTCACCACCAGGAAAATAGTACACCAGATGGCATATCAGTGCTGACATTCCCAGATGTTCATCAGAAGGATACCTGCTCTGGGCGCTTAGGTCACATTCCAGGGAAAGAAAAGACTTTGTGGGATTTTCCTACCAAATTCCCGCCTTGCAAGATACCACTTTACCCGCTGTGTGGAGGACATGTCAGACACTTGTTGGATGCTTACATCGCTTGCATCACAGGTGGACAATGTGTTCATTAAACACCACATTTTGTACATAACCAGACATTTTGCAAAGCCAGTCAACTCCTATGTCTAGAGGAAGGAGACCCTATCAGGCTACATCTACAATCTGAGCACATTCAGCAGTGTGTCCAGCCTATCCTTGAAGAACTCGCTGGCTTGCTAGGGAATGATACATGGGTGGGATATGCAAAATTGGCAATGTTGATGTTAGTTCAGGAGCTGGACAAAGCGGCCAAGGTGGATGAAAATGTGTGTGTATTGCACCACCTAGATTGTATGCACATTTTCTGGAATCAGAGTTGTCTTACATGTTAAAAATGCTGAAGATGATCTCAGAAGACATGTAGTCATCTCCATGGCCAGGACAGGACAACACAAACAGACAGAATTGATTATTGACCCTGAGGGGCTTCAGGATGTAACATCTGGAAATTATATAATCCCTTTGATCATGTTCGCACACGGCCTCAAAAATTGTAATACTCTGCGCAACAAGATAAAGGTCTTAGGCATCTTGAAGACCTACTCAGACATCCCTAACACCGACCTCAACACACTTGTATGGGCGTAGAAGGAGATCAAGCTGACGTCCAGGATATGGTACATCACTGGCTTTCTGCTCTCATGCAGACTGCTTGTTCAGTGCCAGCAGATCCAAGATGCTCTCCATTATACTGATGGTCTTGGCCAGGTTCTCCAAAACCATGCTATCATTGACCATTGTGTCTATTCTGTCCCTTACTCAAACTATTTGTGGCATATAGATGGACATCACAAGCTTATCTGCTGGGGTTTAGTACTCCATGGCAGCACAGATGGATCAGATCATTTGGTGAGCATGCTGTCACAGCAACTTGTTCTGATATTCATCATCACATTATGTGTACCGCATTATAGATGGTCATGCTGCACATCCATCCCAACAATCACACTCAGACTGTCTTTACACTCTTCCTGGAAGCAGGGAAGGAGTATGGATTTCCATTGTGTGTGCATGGAGATCGTGAAGAGGAGAATGTTGAGGTTGCCATCTGTGTAACAACCCAGTATGAGGTTGTTATGAGCATTGTACATCCACTGGCCCAGCGCTGTAAGCACTGGGCAAAGATAAGATAATATGTATTAGATAGACATATATGGTGTGCGGGTATTTGGAACCCATGCACCTGGTGTGGGCAGCCTTTCTAACCTGCCCCACCATCCCCCAAGTATGCCAAGCTTCAATAGAGCCCGGACCAGAGTACTCGCAGGATAAGGGGCAACAGATTGCGCCCCCACACTTGTGAGTTTTACAATCTGGATGATCAAGCATTGTGGTCTAAATCAAGTGTCCTTCATGTGGGGAAGGTAAGTTCTGTATGTTGTCTATATATATTAATAATTAACCAGTTGTGTCCCCTTTCCACTACTGACATAACTAGCTCAACATGCCCAGATTGAGCAAATGTGGGTAAAGGTCAGCACTCAGTTCACCATCTGCTGGCAGGCATTCTTCACACATCTTGAAAAGCAACATCATCTTGATCCTGTGAAGCTGGGTCACCTGTGGCTGCTTCATATCCTCTTTCTTGATGCAATCAATGCTGACTGTGATGCATTCTGACAAGAGTGGTATCATCAACCCATCTCAGGGGCAGGAAAAAATCAGAGCCTATCAGTACATCCACGTTGTTGTTCATTGTCTCAAATTATAATTGGTTGTATTTTGACTGGTTCCTATGTAATCAGGATATGTGCGTGCTGTCTTGACCTGAGCATGGCACCCCAAGTCACGACTATCTGAACAATGTCCATCCAGAGGTCATATCTAGATATTATGGGGTTGAAGGCTCTCCTTTATAACACCGTCATGGGGAAATGGCTGCAGGCTATTATGACATTGACTCTGACTCAGAGTCCTAGGTCTCGGATGACAGCAACAACTCAAGCTCAGAAAGTACGAGTAGTGGCACACCTACCAACACTGACTCAGAACTCTCAGCCAGTGGGGTGGACTTAGACAATTTGGTGGGTGCAGACTCAGACAACTTGGCTGACACAGACTCGAACAACTCAGACTGCTCAGGTCTGCAGGATTTTCTAGATCACCTTCTCGCAGGTGACCAACAGTGACATATTTGCCACCCACCCATCCCAGTCTCTAACAGTGGATGTCCATTTGCCTCTGATAACACATACACTGCAATTTGTGCATGCCTCCGCAAAGTTTGTGAGAAGCACATCATCCCCCGCCACTATGATGTCTCGCAGCAGGAATGGATGGGAGGTTTTTACAGAGAGGTAGGAGAGATCTCTTATGGGTGTGCAGGGCAAAAAGTTGATGTTGCTCCTCCTTTTGCAATGTGGTGGCCCTGTGTGGTAGAATGGACACAACAGCTTGATGTAATGACCCAGTTGTTGTGTTTGGCACTTACGAGTGAGCTTGCGCACCGCATGTGGATGGTGGCGCGCAGGCCCCTTATGTATGCAGCCCGCCTCTCTACGCACACCTTACGTGTTTGCTCTCCCTCTCCCCCACTCTTGTTGCTCCCTTCACGCTGCAAACATGCCTGTTCACTCTCCCTCCTGTTGCCGCTTGTCGTCTGACCTCGCACGCTTAGACACCGAACAAGCACCCGCGAACATGAAACTCTACACCAGTTTGTCTTGAGGGAGCAAGGAGAACTCTAGTTATATCACTGGAACAGCATCAAATGGTGTCTATATTAAATATTGATCACTTGTAAGAGCTAAGGATACTGGTGACAAGTGATGGTTGTACACTTTTATTCTTGCATGTAGAGAGCACCCTACTTAGCACTTTCATCCACTACACTGCCAGCACACCTTCTTGACCTTGCCCTCACCGCGTCCGCCATGACTCCCACCCATTGTGTTGATGCCCCTCGCTGCTCAGGCAATGTCAGTAACAGTGAGACATGTATGTGCATGTACTTAAAGAAGCATAGCAAGGGCACCAAGGTGAAGGCCAAAGGTTGTTGCACCTGTGGATGCTCGCAACACTGTTACTGGTCAGGCAACATGGTGGCCCCACCTGAGGAGGACACTGAACAGATCATCAACAAGTGGACAATGTCTATCCTGGCACAAACCAAGACACATCACCAATCTGGCAGTCCAGCAAACCCAACAGTGCGAGAGCTGGCACCAAAGGTACCCGATGCTGTGGCCCAGGAGATGATCAAGCAGTACCACACCAAGGCCCATTCTGTATTGAGGAAAGCATCATCAAGCTCTAATGGAACACATCAGGTGATGTCTGAGATAGTACCTTCTATGAGACGGACTTACCTCAAACATACAGTTAGGCCACAAAGCAAGCAGTGGCACAAAGGCAAAAGTGGTGCAAGCCAAATCAGGTCCAGGTGCTGAGAAGCTCAGGAAGATTGGTGTGGTTGTTGTCCATCCCAGCGGTATGGTGCAAAAGGTTAGTATCTATGCCACAATGCAGAATATATCAGTAAACCTTACCTATACCATCAGAAGCGGCACAGACATACAGTTTGGGAGCTCCAGAGTAATGCATAAATCACTCCGGAGCAAGAAGAGGAGTTTTGCCTCTACAGTTTGCTTGTCAAGAAGGGCCCCAGCAGTGCTGACTTTGCATTCAACCTCAAATGGGGGAGGCCAGCTATTGATGAGTGGCTGTGAGAATTGTTCCCAGAACTATTCTCATACCTCAATGTTCATTATGGTCATTGCAACGGCCACAAGGACACTGGCTACAACTGGGAGCTCTTGCAGAAACACCACTTCTATGTCATTCTAGTCTGTGCACCTGAGATTGATGGCAAAGAGCTGGACAATGTGCATGGCTCAGAGGGGCATGCAAACTCCTCCTCCCATGTCCTGATTGGTGATCATCAGTTGCATACCACCCCGCTAGCCAAGAAGGTTACTCACCAAACTGCCAGTAACCTGCAACACAATTCTTTCCTCTGTCTATGAAAACCTCAAAGCAGCTATTCGGGTGGACTGCCAAGAAGGGGAAGTATATGCAAGACCAAGCTAGCACAATCTTGGGGTCAGAGGGCAGTCTCTGGCTGATGGATCAGGAGACAAGGACAGTGGTGCCAGATTGGAAGACAAGAGCATGGGCAATGGATCTGGAGACAAAAGCAATGAGGGAGCAGACGTGGCTTTGGGACCGGCCATGTTTTGAGGGGGGGTGGGGCATTCGGAACTGGCTTGTTCACAAACTCATATACAAGGGGGTGGATTGGGAGGCCATGCTCATCATGGGAATAGCACTGCAAGCAGTCAGCATGATGAAATTGTGACATGAGGGAAAAAACCATATCATGATGTGTTTATGAAGATAGTTTTGTTTCCACCTCCAGTAACCTGTGACAGATCCAACAACGGAAATCCAAATGCGCAGTGGGGCCCCAGCAGTGTTCAGTGTCCTTGAAAAATGTGTCAAGTTCCTGAGGTGTCATCACAGTTGAAAGGATGATGGAGGCAACAGGTGGATGCTGCTCGAAGTACATGGGAGGAGTGGGAAATGTTGTGGTATGAAGTAGAGAGAAGACAAGGGGGTGAACATGCAAGGACAATGAATGCAGACTAAATATATGGTTGTTATGGTAAAGATTATTCTACAGACATTTAGAACTTAGAGCATACTCACTCCCTTTTACTCACTCTTATTTGGCCCTGGTCGGTCGTCTTTATCACTCATTACATTCCCTATTATGACTCTCTTTAGGTACCTTTCCCTCCTTCAGTCTCTCTCCCTTTAGATTATAGGAACTATCTCGAACTTCGCATTATCTGTATATAAGTAGCAGCTACTCGCCCTCAATCATCATCATACTTCTTACACCACAATACTTGTGTGCCATTGAGCCACTGAGTGCCTCGTAGTGTCGACTAACATCTGTTTCAACCCGAACAAGAGTTAGCATAGCTACGCGCTGCTTGAACCTGTTCGACTTAGAGACTTAAGGCGCGAAGCTATATCAGTTAGGAAGGAGGTTACCTATTTCGGAACCTATGAGCATCAAATATCTCGTCGCTTGCAGCAATGGTGCAACCAGGTATGTCACAAAATAAACAATGTTTAAATGTGAAGTGCCTGCCCATGAACTTGGGGCACAGCCGCATATATGCACCCTAGCTGTGGAACCAAAAGGTTGAACATATCCCCCTGCACAAACCCTGCCATCTATCAACTATGAACAAGCCTACATCAAGCAGGTCTCCTAAAGCCGGAGCCCCAGGGACACCTCATCTTCGTCCATTACTTCTATCTCACAGACACTCTTTATCCCCTGACATTGAGTCTGGCAATGACCAGACAGTGAAATGACACCAAACACATTACCACGTCCAACATCCCCAGTTCATTTGTGGGTCTATGGCAGGTTTATTATGGGTCTGACTATGCCTTCAGCATCAATTAATGTGGGTCTATGCCGGGTTCAATGTGGGTTTATGTGGG